AAAACAATCAAGTAGAGCCTGATAAGGAACAGATCAAATTAAATTACATCACAATAAAGATGCTCTTAGCCAACTACATGCTGTTCCAGACTGCATTTGATATTTAAACTCATTCCCAACAAATCTGTATTGCCAAAGAGGCCACTTCTAACTGACTCACAGCACCTCCTAAGGAGAGGGGGGGAAAAAAAAAAAAAAAGAAAAAAAAAAGTCTGTGAAATCTCTTGCAATTAGTACTCTGGAAAAACACACAGATAAACAATATTAACAAATGTGATATCCTGTAAAGCCAAACAATAATTCTTATATAACTAAATTCACTAATGTTTTGGTAGCTGAATAATAACATATCCTTGAAGTTTGGTTTAGTAACAAACTAAGAGTCACAAGAGACTTAATCCTTGAATCCTTGAAAGCCGTTAGTGGGTGGTGGGGGAAAAGGGATGTTTTGTGATCTTTTCCTCATGCAAAGACCAAAGTCCAGTAAAACAGATTAACAGTATACAGTTTCATTTTAAGATATCTTTAATAAAGTATTTAACTTATATTAAGAAACCCAGGCTGCATAAATAGATTACTCAGGGATGCAGCAATGAGGCCCAGAGCCAGCTCAGTGTGAGAGCTAAGGTGAACAGAGATGTAACGCTGTTCAGCAACTCCATGCTCTGAAACAAAGAGTGGGGAAGACAAGAGCAGATTCAAAGCAGGAACCAGATGCAGAAATAAGTGAAGGACTAGATTCTGTGCAGTCTAGAAGCTGTACAAACACCCATTCAGTATCATGAGGTAGCTCCAAGGCTCGGGTTTGCTGCCTGCATCTGTGAAAGTTGGTGGAATTACCACTAGACAGACAGTAATTCCACATCAGTTCTGTATTGCATTGGATCAGTTGAGGTAAACATTAGGGACCGCTTCTCCTCAAAGGTCAGCAAATGAATGAAAACACTGCTCTTTGAGGTAAAAAAATGAAGGGAAAATGCAGAACAGTAAGAAAGGATGGGAAGAAAAATTTGCGTGGAGGTACTTGAGCTGTAGAAGATCACAGCAGAGTCAAGAAGGAGACAAAGGAAAGGGAATTTTCCTTTACAAAAACTTTTACTTACTTTTAATGGAAGACTAAAGATTCATCCAGTAATGTAAAGTCTAGATGGATCAAGAATTCTCTTGCATTAAATTTTCAGTGGAAAAGTCAAAGAACATACAGCAAACAAGTCTCTTTTTAGCATGTCTCACACACCACCATTCCTACCACTATCATCTGGTAAATATGTAAACATGGATGTAAATCAGAATCCCCTCAAACACACAGGTGTAGCATACTCTGCTTTCTAAACATTACGTGACTAAGGAAAAGAAGATCTAAATTCATTTCCATGCCCTCAAATAGTCAGGGATTTGTTCTGAATCCCTTCTAGGGAGCTAAGGAGGAACTCAGATTGTTCTAGCTTCATTACATTTGCTTTCTCCCACAAGGAAAAAGACATCTTCTGCTAATACTCACAGACCATCTGCTGAAGACAAATCATGATAAACTATGTAACAAGCGATGCAAAAAAGCATCCGAAGAGTACCAGAACTCTCACAAGGCATAAACTCTTCCACATCCCCATCAGGTGCAGGGATGAGACATTCTTTCATTTCCAGCTCCTTCCCTAAATACCTGCATACATCTTGTGCTTACTTTCCCTTACTGCCCCTTTGGGAACGGGGCCTGTTAATTGAAATGTCCGCTGCTTTGTAACAGTCAGTGGCTGGTTTGATTACTGTATTTCAATAAATAATATAGCCATATTAATCCAGACAGAGCAATTAACACAGACATTTTTACTGCACCAGTGTTACTGTATACTACCAATTAGGTGTTCCTATCTGAAATACAACCCCCTTCTGAAGGCCAAATGAATTCAGCTACAGTTTGATCTCTTCAACAATTGCAACCCATTAGGAGCAACTGACAGCATCTGTCACACTGTTCATGCTGATCCTTCCAGCCCTGAACCAGTGCCTGAATTCACACTTAATCTTTTCAGAACGCCTTTTATTTTAAGGAGCAAAAACTAATGTTGACACTTTGCATCAGATAGTGAAAAATTACATTGACTAACCAGATCCATGTTCTACTTTGTTATTTAGATTTATTGAAGTGTCACTCACAGTGAAAGAAAAGCAAATTTACTCCTCAGAGAAATTTATGTTCTACCAAAGCAAGGCTAAAATGTGACCAGATTAGGAGAGATAGTCAAAGATGGAAAAGGACTTTTGCCAAGCACCACAGTATTAACATATGAGCACCTCTTCACATGGCAAAGATATTGCATGATTTCCCAGAAATTTAATTTTGGTGGGGGGAGCACTAAGAAAAAGGTATTTGGAATACTGTATTATAGCTAAAAGTCAAAGCAGTGCAGGACATGGTTATCTATTCACTGCTTAGAGGTTTATCGAATCAATTCACTTTGAAATTGCATTTTGAAAATGTATCTTCAGTAGGAGAATGGATAGATGTATTTGCACTTCTAATCAGTTTACAACATTAAGTATACTACTTTATTCAATATATTTGTTGGCATTTAAGATATTTCAGACAATTGGATATAGATATATTGTTCTCATGATAAAAATGCTTTCTTGCTCTTTGGTTGAACATTTTTTTGAAAGTGTCCAGTGTTTTTGAAAGAGTCAATGCTATTAGCATAATTCAGACAGCTTTTAAAAGTGGAAATATTTATAGATTAAATGATACAGAGGTGGACTTGTAAGACACTCATAATGGCATTCCACGCTTATTGATCATGCACTCTCTTCAGCTGCATCCCTAAAAGACAGACAACCGTTTCATTCATCTGCTCTTTCTGTCTCATTGTGTCCACTGGAATTCTGATCTAAAACTTTTGACTTTAGGAATAATATTTTTCTAACAATCAATTTTAAAAAAATACATATGCATGTATACATATACGCACACAGATGGAACATGCCAGAAGCAGAAGCTCCTCAGCTGAGAGGACACAGTTTTGGCAACTCTCAGAATTTTAAAAAGCTCTCTCTAAACTACATGGTATAACTTTTGGTACAGCCCAGGATAAAAGCAGGTAACGGTGCAAGATTTCAGACTATTCCAAAGCATTCTCTCAATGTGCCAAGAGTCCCCCGACCAGAGCCCATCAGCGCCAAAGTCTGCTGTGTTTCTGCTGAGGTTGGGTATGCTACTACCTTGGAACACTTGAGCAGAAGTTCACATAAACCTTCTTCCTCTTTATCCCCATTTTAAATGCAAGAGATGATAAATACTTTAAATGTTTCCAATGAACTAATAGAAGATACCACATGACAACAGGTAATTGACTGAGTTTAAATAACAAGCGCTCAGAGATAAATATTCAGCCCACACCAAAAACAATTTACAAACACTGGATGAGAAAAAGTTAACATTTATATAGACATACCCAGGGCAGAGAGAAAACAGTCGCATACTAAGCCAGCCCTTACAGAGGGACTAAGAAGTAAGTTGTGGTGAATTGTTTTTTACCCTCGCTGAGCAAAGAAAATTTCTCCAAACCACAACTTTTTGTTTACTTGCTTTTATGAATTATTGGAAAAACACTCCTTTACCATGACCTTCTTGTTCTTGCACACTAAGCATATATAAAGAAAAAAATCTCAGAAGTCTGAGAGCATTGGAAATACTCTTTGAACAGGCTTTCTAATCCACTACTATACTAGCTTAGGCACTTGCTTAAAATCCAAATAAATACTCCAAACTTGACTGTTAATTCTCTTTTTCTAGTTTCCCCTATTGTCACAGAAAACATGCACAGAGCACAGCCATTCTGGCATACGGAGAGATGGAAAAATGGCAGTTCTCTAAGGGTTTTAAAATATTCACTCTCATAAAACACACATTTGTACTGAATACAAGGATGGTGCCAAACTTCAGTAACACCATAAGAATCTGATAAGCACTCTAAGAGTAGTGCAGTAAGGTTTACTTTACTTTGCATAAAATCATTACCATCAACTTCTCCGTAAATAAAAACAGCAAAAAATAATATCAAAGAATAGAGGCTAATAAAGAAAAATCATACGGTAATTAGAGGCAAAATCAATCCCAGTAGATGAGCAGCAGCCATAACCGCAGAAACAGTGGCCTCATTTCCACTGGAAGTTAAAACATTTTCATAACAATATGGGTGCACAAATCCTGGGGAAGTCAAAGTTTTAAATATATTAAAATGAGATGAAAATATTTAAGTAATTAAGCATTACTTGACAAACATATTCCAACTCAGCTGCACTTTTATTGTCAGAGTGAGGCCTGTTCGTTCTCTAAAAAGTTGCAAAACATCACGGCATTCTTCTATCTCACTGCATATTTCTTTAAACTGTCTCACGAAAACATACAACTGAGGTTCCACAGCCCAGAACTTGATTGCCATTGTCTTTAGAAAGCTTTTCCCAAATCTTAAGCTAATGTTTTCTTGATACTTTATTTCTTGTCCTATGTATCACAGATAGGGATAATAATTTGTAATTATTAGGGATATGTAGGGATAATTATTTGATAATAAAAATAATTTGTAGTGGCCTTTCTAAATATCTGAAGATTTTTATGCTGTTCCTCCTTATCCTAAAGATTCTTGTTCATATCTGCAACAAAGTAATGATTCATTTGGACGCTTGCATTTTTTTCTGTCAGAGCAATGTCAAATATATCTACTACAAACACATTTACCAGAAGGACCTGAAACTATAAAAGCTCTGACTTAACATGGAGCTACAGGCAGCTCAGACTCCCATGTGATACAGAATGGTTGAGCTCTTTCAGTTCCAATAATGCTAGTTCCTTTCCATAGGGTAAATACAGCCATTTGTCATGTGGAAAAGAGACATAAGGCAAGTGCTAAATATGTACGTTTCTTTCTTAATATGATGGAGCTGTTACGAGCAAGGATACCAAGCACCAAAAGCAGAAATGCAGCTTTACAACTGCTAGAACTCACCAAGCATATGTGGTTGGTTTTGGTTGTTTCTTAGGTAGTTTATTCACTTGCAGTTCAACACTAGAAAATCTTCTGAACCTGTGAAGATATTGCACTGGGGTGATAATCTTGTGGACAATCCCTAATGAAGAAAGAGAAAAATATGCCATGGCTGATTTATGTATCAACTCCAAAAATTCTGGTCCAAACTTTAATCTCTGTTCATTTGGTTTATACAGCAGCATTACTCTATTGAATTTAATAAGATTCAAACCAGTTCAGTGTATCAAAAGGGAGGAAAAGAAGTGTTTTTTAGTGAGCTGAACCTAGCAACTCTATACATTCTTGAGCGATTCAAACAAGTTGCCAGCCCTCCTGGGTAAAGTGAGATGACCCTACAGTACTGACAAGGTGGGGATATGAGAACAGAAAAGGAAGAATCACAGAAAGAAAAGCTAATAAAGCTAAACGTTAACGATCGCTTCAACTTAGCAAAACATCAAGACACATAGAATTTAATGTTTCTCATGTTTTCTTCCCAGAAACAATTAGCATCCTCAAATCAAAGCTTTTAATATTACCCTTTTTGGTATAGCAATATGATGGAATAAAACATCACAGTCATCCTTGTCACTCTTTATATTAATACCACAAGAAAAATCACAACATAAAACACTGTTTAAAAGGTGCAATAAATAGCACCCAAGTGCCATCTTTGACATGTAATCAGTCTTGACAAGCTTTGGGCTGACTTTGCTGGCCTCCTGACCCTGCCCATAGGCAAAGCATGCCTCTTTGCCACAGCAAATCTTTCCTGGACACTCCGTCACATTGTGACTCCATTTGAAACAGCAGAAAAGGTCAAAGACTAATGCTCCACTTTCATGCTGAATTCAGGTCAATTCATACAACGTTGTCAAAATCACTGATTTGCTACAGGATCCTAGTAGGTATATTCTGCTTTTTCCATTCCTTTTCCCCTATAACCTTTCGCCTCTTCTTGAAAGAATCTTCGGCTTATTCATCCACATACAAAATTGTTATTTAGAGGTCCGATTCCTGCATTTTATAAAGCTGTGCCTACATTGAGGATAACAACAGAGTAGACTTTTCCACACACTTTTTATTTATCTTTTACCCGGTCACATAGTCCAAAACAACCATATGCAGCCTGTGGGCTGCATTGCTCCAGAACCCTCCTCAGAAAAAATAAGCAGGTACAGGACTTTAAAACTGATCACAGAGATAATAAAATAAATACCTCTCCTCGCCTAGTTGCTTTTTCTCCCCAGCCCCTTCTCCCAACTTGTGCTAAAAGGTTTAGTCACACTGATGCTTAAGAACCTCCTTATACAGTTGAGATACAGGAAGAAAGAATGCCAAATCTCTTAAACACACTCCATTTTCCAATTCTTCATATTCCCTAAAAAAACTACTTCACTGTTTCCAAAGTTTTGTAGGAACAATCAGATAAGACAGCTGTTTTTGACACACACAGAATGAACCCAGTTCTGGGGCTATTCCCAGTTCTATTGCTATAGAATAAACCACAAAAAAAAAAAAAAAAAAAGTTGCTTATACCTTGCAATTTCCTCCTGTCACAAAATGATGAAGCTCCCTCTTAAAATAATGCTTCTGCTCCAGTGGATGCATTCCCTCGTATTTGCAGCACACATGATAGACAGCAATATAACTTGTTCCTAAACTCGTGTGATGGCCAAGCTTTGGCCAACATGAAGAATTTGAACTGGCAACCTCCAGACTTAACCATCAGACATGATTAAACACAGCTTTAGGCTGCGGTTAGAACTAAGCAATTGAAAGTTAGCACATTACCCATCCTCTGGAGATTCAAACAAAGTGGGCTTTGCCATTCACCACGGTCACCCAAAAACAAACTTTTGCTACTAAATAAAATTCAAAAATATTTTGACAATTTTTATGATTTAATTTTTTAAATTATTTAATCTGGAATTGTGTTGTCATGCCTGAGGATGAATTAAAACATGGTTGTGAAAAATCTCAAATCTAGTTTAAGTTCAATACAGCATATGCCCATATATGCATAGTCCTTTCATATTATCTTTCTTCTTACATACATTTTAAGTACTTGATTCTTCCTTGAAAATTTCAAAAGAAAGGACAGGATTCAGATTTTTTTTTCAATAAATGTTCCACCCTTAAGGAATTCTACTACTCTTAACCTTATCCTGTCTCTCTCTGTACCTGGAAAGGAAAAGTAACCAGAATTGCACATGACCAACTGCAGGCGCTGAAGAGTTGCTTTATGTACTCCATCTACCAAAAACAAGGAAATAAACAATAAAAAAAAAAAACCCTAACACATTTGTTTGCAATTATCTGTACTGCTATAGGTGAGCTGAGGTTCAATGTTAGACTTGCTGACAAGAGGTTTCCAAAGAGTTAACATATTGCAGCCAGAGCCCTCTCTGCCAGTGATTGCTTTTCTGTTTAGTTCTATAAATGAAATTTATTAAAACCATTACATGCACAGTGATGCCACAATATCCAGAGCAAAGTTACTAAATCTAAAAGAGCTTTTATTTAATCAGGAGATAGCTAACAGATGTAATGACTGGGGGATGAGGCAGAACCTGGTTTTACATTTACTTCCTGACAACATAGTTTTATCACTTTCAATAATGTGTATTCCACATTTCTCTGAATCTATTACTTTATATATAAAGTGCTCATTTCTAAAAATGCCCCCTTCATTGTATCCAAACCCCTCTGTTCATGTGCCCAATTGGAACCAATTTTTTCTCACTGTCCAAAAAACTAGCATTCTTTCTTCTTTCTTTTTCCACTTTTTTTTTTTTTTTTTAAATGAGCAGTTCTATCTTCCCATCCATCTTGTCTGCACGAAGGGATAACCTGCAGCTGAATTGCAGAAAGCCTATTCTCCCAGTGGGATCTGAGATAAGATAGACTGCATTAACCCTAAGATTCATTTCCCAGCTAGGAATTCTCCCTTACTCTTTTAAGAAGATCACAGGAAACAAGCTGGATAATGGTTAGAGATCTATTGAGTGCACTTTCATCACCAGCTTTCATGAAGAGAGAAATGGTAATAAGGTCACAGAAGCCTGAAATGCTGAAGGTGGGTAGAAGATATTTTTCCAAGTATGCTGACATTTCAGTCTTGATATACAGTGCCATATAGGGCATGACCATCCAGATATTTGGGATACTTCATCCAAAAAAAAAAAAAAAAAAAGGGTTTCAGAGAAAAATTCTAAAAGATACATCACTTTTGCTGTTCCATTCCCTTCAGTTTGTTCTCTAAAAGGACTCCTCATATCAGGGAGAAAAAAAAAAAAAAAAGAAAAAAAAAGCTATTTTCTATATAAGATTTAATTCCGTTAATTCATTAATTAATGCTATTTTCATGATACAGCTATTTTAAAAAGTTATGTTTAATTTCTTTTAAAGACATGAACATTCTTGCAGTTCTCTAAGCTATGAAAAACAGCCAAACAGCAACTGTAAACAGAAATATTCTGCACCATACTTTTTGCATCCAGCGTTTTCAAATATTTTCTATGCTTTCAACACTATATACAAATATCTATTATCCTGCTCGAAAGGTTTTAAATCCTTTCTGTAGCAATGAAACTGTACAGGAAGCTTGGTAGATAAATGTTATTGCAGAATCTAGATTTTAGAAAATTATCTGACTTCCCTCTTTCCCTCCCACCAAAACCCCCCTTGAGAAGACAAGACAGCAATGGTCCTTTCTACAACAGCTTACAAGCTAACTGTGCCACATACACTCCTTATTTCCTTAGCCTAGTGTAATATACTCTGCCCACATTTCACATTACAAGAAGAACAGAAAACTGCAAAGACATCAAAATTCTTGCTGCTGTTTCTGCCATCTGGCAGCCGGTAAATACTAAAGCAGAGGAGAAATAGTTTTAAGAAAAAGTCTCCAATTTATAAGTAAATAGAGGCTGAAATAATTTTGCCATAATTAGACACCATGTTCAGAAAGTGAAGCCAGTTTTGTGACACATCTTTGGAAAATCCCACTGCGTGCACTTAATTGGCTCATTTGTTGAAGCTTAGACTCTAGGATACACAAGGAAGCAGGGTTACCAATAAATAATATTAGCAAAAGGCTGGCATCTATATTCCATATAATATTATGGGGTTTAGAGATTTGGCTAAAGCTGCTCTGCACCATCCCTTTTGCTCAAGCCCTCTAAGTGGGATGGAGGGAACAAGAGGACTGAATTTTTACCTAGATAATGGCACCAAATGCACACCATATTTACCTGCCCACTTGTGGCTGAGAACACAGGAAAAGTGCAATGTCAAGGCAAATTCTCTGGTTCTCAAGCACAGGCTGACCTCCTCAAGCCCAACGTGAATTACAGCAATTGCTCTCAGCTGCATCATCTGCAACAGTCCCTGGGCTGAGGAGGTCAGCTCCATTGCAACATGTATGCAGCCTGACTCTCTCCTCTTTAGTAGTTGGGGGTACCTGAACAGGCCGGTATCAAAGTTGCGACAAATCCTGCTTACCTGGAGGTTGCTCTCCCAATGCTGAGAAATATTTATTGAGCACTATCATTATGGACAGCTTATAGTAGCATAGGGCTAATAAAGACAAACTATGTAGTGAATCTAGAAGGGTCCTTGACCCAAAAGTCATGCTATCTATTCTCTCTCAAACCATCAAGCAAGCCACAGCTGTTAGCTTAACACATGGGAGGGAACTCAAGAATACGCTAGTTTTGTACCTTATCAAGATAATAACTTGCTGGGGATTTTCCGTACCACTACTTGCATATATTTTTGCATATAATCTAGGTGACATTCTTGCATAGAATCTAGGTGACATTCCTCTCATTTACTTTATTGTCCATTTCAATAACTGAAAATATATAATCCTTGTCCATTTCAATAACTGAAAATATATAATCCTCTCCACTTTATAAACAAGCAGCAATTTGTTTTACATCTTCCTAGGATGAATCACTTTTCATGAGAAAGTAAGGTTATAAAATTCCATTTTTTCCTATGACTAAAGAGTATCATATTATTAGAATATAAATAACAGTATGTGCATGCTG